AAAAGATGGAAAATGAGGTGCTTACAAAAGTAGATAAGCTTGATAATGTCGTAAGTGGATATAGTTAAATTCTATTATATTAAAGTGAGTCTTACTAATTGATATCATTATAATAATGATAATAGGGTTGGGAAAACTACTAATACAAACATCATTCAATATATTGTAAATAAATAAAACCAATTATATCAATAAAATAAAGCAAAACAAAGCTAGTTTTTTTATTATTCAAGATTCCATCCATTTGAATGAGCCCATTAATAGGTGTGTTTTTGGTAATCTTCCAGGCGAAGGTGATAGAATAGTGACCTTTCTCTTTTCTTCATCCACATCCGATCTATATAATGATAATAGTAATGAGATACATATTCTATATAATTAAAATGAATACAATCCACTTACATGTAAATAAACCCAGTAACATTTCGCTCCAATAACCTATTCTCATGTTCATCCTTATCCGCATTCAATATAGCCAATATAGAATGCAAACACATATCATAATTATCCACTTTAACAACCTGGGTCTCATTAGACGAACTATCCATGCCAATAGGTAATGCACTTGATGGTGCAATAACATCACCCACGCGCCAAATTGTGAGATCATCATGGTTCACTAGCATAGAGTAAGGTGATAGTTCACATTTGGGTGTGCCATAGAAATATTCGTGTATTTTGGAGCGTTGTAATTTGGATTTGAATTGTTTGTCACGTTCAACAACGCCACCTGATTTCTTTAGTTTTACAATGGATACGCTATTATCAGGTTTGGAGGAAAGAATGCGGTTCATGTCACTGTAGAGACGCTCATGACCGAGTACAATGACAATATTGACTTTTGTTATATAAGATTTTGTTTAAATATACACTGTACACTCGAATATATTCTACTCTCTACTTACTTGAAAACTCTTCAATAACATGTTGTATAATATCATACCCGACTTGATCAATCAACCCTGAGGTATCAATAATAAAACCCGATCTACGACAGTCCTCATCCACTGCCATTCTACCCTTCACAGCCTGTGCCAATTTGGATGTGATCAACTTGTACAGCTTTACATTCTCATCAGGACTCTCAAACCCATAATAATACGCTAACGGCATTGTGGATGATCCCATCGATGCAGCTGTCGTTGCTGATGATCCAAAACCTTCCTCAATATCAATAATGTTGCTGATACAGGTCGCCGTAATTGTACCTGGCATTGTGATGGAGCCCTCTGTGGTATCCAGCGAGATGTAGATGGGTGTACCCTCCTGTCGAAGAGAGTAACTGACAAGGATCTTGCAGAGTGAGGTTTTACCTACATCGTGTGGACCTACAACGAGCACGCGAGGGCCGAGATTATTTTCGGTTTTAGCGGTGCGTCGCATCTGTTCGAGTGCTAGGTGAGTGTTGAGGTAACTGTTCATGGGTGTTTCATTGGCGGTGTATTCGACGAGGAATTGGCCAGAGATTTCGAGGGTGCAGCCGTGCCAGGTGTAGACGGCTGCTTTGCGACCAGTGAAGGTGTAGGTGACACCTACAGCGAGTTCAGTGCCAAAGATCTCTGCTGTGCCTTTGGCTAGCTGTTTGGAATTGTATTTTTTTTCAGTTGAGATCTACACGTTTTTTTTTTTTTTTTTTAATCTAACCTTTATTTGTACTTTTGCATTGAAATCTACTTCAAAACGAAACTCATGATCTGAATCTAATACAACTTCACGCACAGGTTCTGCTTCTTCCTATTTTATTTTTCATATTGAGAATGGCTATGTTATTTTAAATATTAGAGTGAATGATTACATTACTTTCTCCCGCATTATAAGTAAAGAAAAAAGAAAAGTAAAAAGACACACACATAAAATATATAATATTAAATTCTGTACCAATCATATTGGGTCATTCTGCAAATACCAAAGGATTGCCAATATGGTTTGATCTGATATTGAACATATTCCTCTTTTAAAGGTATTGTAATATAGCATTTTATTTTATTTTAATTTAATTTACACTACAACTATCTTTACTCATCCTTACGGCATCAGCAGCTTCAACTATGCTCTAGCGGGTTATTGTATCTATGGTAATCAAGTATGAATCCATTCAATTCTTAAATAATTTATATCGAGCATAAATACCTTTGGCAATGATTATTTCAAAGTGTTTCTATTGTATTTATTTTATAGAACAGAATTAGTAATGTAATTTGTACCTTTACCTTGATTTTGCTTGCTGAAAATGATATAAATCTAAAAGAGAACATAGTTAGAGGCGTAGATGATAGGTATTACGTGTTTTTGTTTTTGTTTTTGTTTTTTTTTACCTGAGCTATGGCTTTAGCATAGTGCTATTCATTCATATTCAATAACTCATCCATATCACACTGTAAATGCGTCGGTGACATGGAAAGTAATTCATTGTAGATGCCTATTTTGAGTCATTTACTATAATACTTCTCCCTACGAAGAAGTAACAAAAGAAGATAATCCTTCCGGATTATTATCCAATTAATAATTATTTTTATGTGTTTATTCGCTCAGATCCAGGTCCTTTTCAAGAAGAAAAATCAGGCTCAAGTAACAGATTTCATCATTGGTTTTCTTGTTCGTTTGTTGTCTTTTTGCTTCTACTTTTTAGTTGGAATTCGATTGGAAATAGGTATTATTATTTTACCTTTTCTCTACTAGTAATATCATTTTAACTTTATTCTATTTCTCGTTTTGGCTCTTGCTTATTGTCATTGAACTGTTTCTACCTGTTGCGTTCTTTCTTTATTGTTCTATGCCGTGTTTGGGTTACTTCCTTTCAAGTGTTCTAATTTTGGAAAAGCTTGAATAAGTTTCACCAATATCTTGTCTAGTTTTGTTTCATTACCTTCATTTGCTTTTTGGAATATCTTGTCTTGGTTCAATCCTTAAGAATTGATATCACTTTTGTATCTCTGCCTTTTTTATCGACTTTCACTTTCATATTGTCATCTTTTATTTCGTTGACTTCTGCCCTTGTTCTATATAAGTATAAACAGTCAATACATAATTTTAGAAGGTATCACTTTTTCTATATTTACCCAATACCAGAACATACACCAGTTCATCTCTTGCCATTACTTCTTTTTTTTTGACCACTTTTAGTACTAAATCCATATCTGTATATGTATGTATGAGTAACTATTGTTTACATAGTAATAACACTTCTCATATATTTACCTTGATTTCGTGATATTCACTTATCCTCAACTACAACCAACCATTGTTTTATTGTCTCGTCCGTGCTATTCCATTTGTAATTTCACACGGTCTACGCTCCTTTCATTCAGTCACGTTGATGTCTAATAAAGTTGTATAAAGTTGTTGAATCCAGGGAGTTTATTTTATGTATAAATTGTTTTTGTTATAGGTTTTCTGGATTTTGTAGAGAAGGACGCATGTCTATTTCACTGGTTGTGGTGAGCCACCCCGCACAGAATACTGCTATCTATCGTAGAATCTAGAGTTTAGCGAAAGAAGAATGGATTGAAAATGGTGTTTACAGTTTCATACAAGAGTGAGTTAGACTAGTAGACTAACATGATTCAATCTTTTTGTTGTTTCTAGTAAAAAGTGTAGTCCAACTCAAAACCAGTAAAAAAAAAATAGAAAGACATGGATCAGGAATCCGTTTTTAGTTTTCAAAGGTACTTTTGTCCAATATGAATAAATCCATACCACACAAGATAGAAAGCAATCGTCTCATATCTGAAAAGACTTTTAATGCCTTTAAAGCGGATGCAATTCTCCGGAACCTTTAAGTAGTAACATGTTACGAAATGGAACTAGTGATCAATGAATATATTGAATGTTATCAAGATAAACATACCGCAGTAAATGCTTCACTTGACTTATTATCCACCACTATATAGCATTGTTTTAGTATTATTATTGTCTCGGTTTTTTTTTCTTCTTTTATATACATTTTAATAACTGATCCTTAGCATCCGTTCCTTTTTGAATGTGCTCTAAAAACAACTTTGTAAGTTGCTGCTGTTTCTCAATGGACAAAATTGTTTTCTTGTGTTTGATGATTAGCTCAAGTATATCCTTATCGGGCAATAGATCTATATAGACAACATGCTACTTTAACAACAACAAAGAAGTATACACACATGCATTTGTTTTCATTTACCCTCCACAGTTAATTTTGATATCAATGTGGAAGCCATGACCTGTTCCTGTTGCTTTTCTCTAATAATAATAATAATAACAATTAGGGTACATGTACATGACAGACAAGGGGGGGGGGTTGTAATAAGTACAATTTGTGGTCAATAAAGGGCTCAAATATACCCATTGAGCTTTGTACTTTTCTTTGGGTTGCATAGTATCGAACAAAAGTTGGAAGGACGGTTGAACTGGCTTTTCTGACAGACATCTTATATATCACGAAAAAAAAAAGAAACAACCGCCGCCTGAGTCCAGTTAAGCTCTTTTTTAAGTGATAAAGGGAGGGAAATAAAATAGATGGAGTTAAACTCTACTGCATTTCCTAGGTGAGGATGTCATAATTAAGATCAAGGAATATGTATTGATTATCATGATTTGCTGCTTACAACAGGTTTTTTCCAACCTTTTTCAAATAAAAAAAGACAGTTAGATGTGATGACATATAAAAAAGTGTTGATAAAAGGGATATATAGTTTATTATTTTTATTTATATCAACTATTCCTCAAGAAACAAGCCGTGATAATTCAGCAATACATTTTTCTAATCAGGAATTGAATTAGCATGAGAGAAAGACGACGTTTTTATTTATTCATAATTAATACAAAACAATATAAATTGTCTTTAACAATAAAAGGAAACTTTGTTATTGGTAACATAATGTCACCACAATCGCATGCGCGATTTTTTGTTCGTTGTTTTTTTTTGAATTTTTTTTTTTTTTGTAGTCATCTCCTCACATTGATAACAGGAAGCTTTACTTCTTCATCAGCTTCTCTTTTTTGTACGCTTCGTACTCCTTTGCTTTTTCTTTAAATATATTGACCAGTCTTCTTCTGAAGAACTGGACCTGACCAGGTATCCATGCATCCTCATACTTTGGATTCGAGCTGATGAGAGCCTGTTTGACCTTTTTGGGGTCTTCGAATAAGCGCTTCAAGTAATACAAGTAGTAAACGCCACAGTCGATCAGGTTTGGCTGTTGGGGGACACAGGCTTTAACATATTTGGGTTCTTTAAAATCTTTACGGTCTATAGCAAGACGGGTGGTGGCCTCAGCCTTCAGGTATTTGCACACCTGCTCGTATACGACCTTGCGGTCGCCACCAAGAGAGTCAAGAATAGTAACGTAGCATCTGTTTTTTTTTAAGAAAAGAAAAATAGTTAGTATCCTATCATTTGTATCTGGTAGATTATTTTCTTACTTTTCATCATCGCGAGCACGGCCGACGCAGTGAGCAGGGTTGGTAATGATGGCTGTGAACCAATGATGGGCTTGATCAATGGGGATGACAATGTGCTTTTTCTAGAAGAGATTGACTTTGTCGGTCCATCGTTTTACTTTTTCGTATATTATAGCCGTTGTTTGTCTGCGAGGACTGCTTTCATCTGACTGTGTCAATCTTGTGAAAAAGAACGAGCTAAACACATGGATACTATCTCTTTGGTGTTGAGCTTGTAACATCTTTGGGTAAGCGTCTATAACCGTATCATTTAAGAACTTGTTATTCTCCACTCTTCGGATGTCACCCTCTTTGATAGTAATGGCTTGTTTGCCATTAAAAGGGTATGTCAGGACCTCTTTTTCGGGATCAATTGGTACAGATCTCTCCTTGTTTTTCTTTGTTGAAGCCGCTTTCGGCTCCGGGAGAGAATCAGCCATCACTGGCTTATTGGGAGCAGATTTGAAATTACCATCGTCCGAGCTATCATCAGCAATCTCTATGATCTCCTTGTTCTTCTTTGGAAAAGCCACCTTCGGCTCCGGGAGAGAATCAGCCATTACTGGATTTTTGGGAGCAGATTGGAAATCACCATCATCCGAGCTATCATCAGCAATCTCAATTATCTCCTTCTCTTTCATATCCTTTTTTGTTGCTGTCGGTAGATATGAAGCCAGTGGGGTGGGCGCTGACTTTGGCTTTTGTGAGAACAGTGAGGTGGACGCTTTAGAGGTGCCAAGCGAATCAGAAATCGGTGTTCTTGATGCAGGAGTAGCACGAGCAATTCTCCAAATATCACTTTTGGAGGAAGGCTTTTTTGCTTTGGAAGAGTGTCCCTTTTCCTCATCATCAGAGTCAATTACGATGACTTTGACATTTTCTTTTGTAGATGACGACTTCCTAGCTCTTCTCTTTCCGATGTGACCAGCGGCACCTTCATCGTCAGACAGACTTTCTCTGTCCTTTCTCTTTCGGATACGGTCGGTCTCATCATCATTATCAGATAAAACCTCCAAAAGGGCTGGTTTTCTCGCAAACACCTTATGTATATTTCCTATTTTAGTATGTAAATATTGATTTGTTAGGCATGAATGTAATGGCTTGCATATTGCGTAATAGATAAATATATATTTACCTCTCATTTCAAGAGGTTTGATCTCAGCGCTAGCATGGTGTTTGTTAACTGGTCGGCTAGTACTGGATTGAAAGCATGTTGCGTGGTCATCGATGAGGATGGGACTTGCTTTACTTGAAGAGGACGATTTTGGTGAGAGAGTGATACGGCCCTATATGATAATGATTTATGAATGAAATGTTACTCGTTTTGATCCATTGTATACGTACTCTGTGTGCGTCCGGTTGTTTATCTGGAAGGGTGCTATTGTCTCTCAAACGTAGTGTATGAAAGCTACTACCACTTCCTCCTGAACGTGTTGCTTGAGAAATAGCACTATTCCTTGGGCGTGAAGTATGAAAAGTACTAGGTTCTCTTCGGCGTGATGACAAAATAACACGGCTGTCTCTTGGACCTGGAGCTGTAATAATAATAAAAACAATCAAATAATCAATAAATAAAGAGTGATAATAATAATAATATATTTATCATGTTGTCTTCTCCTGTTTACATGAGTCGACGCAATCTGTGGTGCATTCTGATCAAATAGATTAATAAAAAAGACTTGATTTAAATTCTAAATCTTTGGTAAATTTACTCTGGAAGGAACAGCGATGGGGAAAGCTTCCTGTCCTGATGCTGTTTTTGATTTTTTTACTGATCTCGAGGATGAACTTGATGAAGAGCTTGGTTCCTAGTAATGGAGACTGTCAATAACAAAAGTCATAATCAAAATCAAACTGCAATTCTTACAGGTCTCTTCTGACGATCAGTTCCTCTGTCACTCATTTTTTATTTAGCTTTTTTCTTATTAGATGGAGCTGCCAAATTGAAAAAACAAGGGTTCATAGAGTTTTGAAAATAAAATAGATTGGGAAACAACTGCAGTCAACAGAGTGATAGACACGCTAGTTTTTGTTTTGTATAAAACCAGAGAATAGAAAAAAATGTGAACAAATGAAAAAGGTTGCTTTATATAAACATTGGTGAATGCATCATGCGCATGATGGCGGATTCGGTCATTGTTGATTATCTTCCTCTTCTTTTTTTAACGGACCAAGAACAAGATGAGTTACTTTTATTATTATTATTGTTAATATTCCTTTCTTTATTATGTAGGTTCATCTCTTTTAGAGAATTCAGAATAATAGATATAATTTGTACCTATTTGATAATACACGACAAAGAGTGAGTGCAAGAGCTTTTGCGTAGCTAAACACATCGTAAAGCATCATGAAAATGCCGAGGCTTGATAAGGCATGACCTTGTAAACAATAACAACAAATTAACTTTATTTTTTTTTATTGACATCAATCCGAAAAAGTAAACAAAATGCACCCTTATTGATCTTCTTTTTCTTTGTATTCTTTTTATTAGTTGCTCTTTCTTTTTTATTATTAAAACTAAAAATAAAACACTTCAAGAAAACCAATGAATGTAAATCATGATAGCATTTCTGCACTGTTTGTTTCATTCTTGGCTTTTTACCCTTCTTTAGCTTTTTTTTGAAGTGTGAAGGATGTCATCTGATGTCATTTGGGATGTTTATGCATGAGTTAATTTTAAGTTGCGCTTGTGTTACCATGCTCCTTTTTTTTTAATAATTATCCTTCATAAAAAGTGAAAGAAGGTTGTAATCAAGAGTCAGTATAGATCATAGTGATAAATTCAATGAATGAATGAATGGATGCATGAATTTATGGAATGGAAAGATGTATCTTTGTTTCTTTTTTTTTTTTTTTACTTACGCTATAGCTACAGACCTAATCTTTGAGCATGAAAAGTAATTTGTTTCCTGTAAATATTTCAAGGTAACATGAATCGGGTACTCCAGTATTTTACTTATATTATCACAAGATCATATTAAAATGAGTATTAATGCTTTCATGTGTCGAGGTAGGAAGTTGGATGTTATCTCTTACATGATAGTAATAAACTGTCACCCTTAGACATGAGATAAACAGTTTGTTTACTGTTACACCAAAAGAAACATGCATTATTTTTGATCAGCGGAATTTTTTAAACTCACACAATTGTTCCTTGATCTACTTCAATCCTTTTTGAAGTGTGTGTTTGCCTCCAATGACATGATTGTCTTTTTGTTGTGTTTTTTTTAAATAATATAAAAACATGTTTATACTTTCACAAACTACATCACTCCACCGCCATGCGTGTTCAAACTGGTTTTTTTTTCTAAAAAAAAAAAAAAGAGAGAGAGGAAAAGATATTACCTGTGCTTGAAATTAAAGTTTTTCATTGGCCGGTGGTATGCAGATGACCCTTTTATTATTAATGCATGTCTACCTTCATAGAACATCTAACTGAGGTCTTTTGAAATAAAAAAAATAACAATTAATAAGCAAGCTTATCCATTTATATCCATCTGCTCATATCTATATGATTAAAACTCATCCCAATTGTTTGTTTTTTTTGATATACTCGGATTTCCAATTTTTTTTTTACAGTTTGATTTTTTTTACCACGATAATACTTGTTTATTTATTTATTAATCAAACACATTAATAAACAACAAAGAGCTCAATTAGTTATCTAATCAGTTATCTATCACCAATTGGGAGAAAATAAACAGGTTAAACATTCTTTATTTATAAACGACTCTAATTTATAGTCCTTCTGTCAACACCAAGTCTATCAAGACACAGTTAGAGTTGTCACTGAGAATCTTCAGTTGTTCTTTAGTGATAATGACTGATTTTTTTTTTGTCTAAATAATTCGCTGTGTCGTATGGATCTTCAAACCTTAAATATACAAGAGCTTTTATATTTGGAAAAAGCTCCGAAATCTCTCTTTTAGTCATATTTGGAGCTAGAAAAAAAACCCTGACACCTAGGTGGAGCTTAAAATAAAGGTAATGTTAAATTATTTAGACAGCTAAACAAGGAACTTACGTTTAGGTGTATATAACACAGGTATATGGTTATTCCTTCTCTTCATATATTTGAAATATAGATAGTTAGGGTGATTTCATTCATTTAAAAATAGAAGACATAGATATTATGATAGAAATTAGATTGAAAAAGAAATCGCAAGTGCAAACTACGACAGCCACACCTAGAAACACTTTTTTTTAACCTTGATTTCAAAAGAAAACCTACATGGTTCTTATTATGCTGCCCATAAGCCACGCTTGACTGATACGCACAAAGCCAGATGACTTCTCTGGGCCCGATCGCACGTGGATTGGACCGAAGACCAGTGGAGAGGCATTGTTTGATCTGATGATTTGGAGCTGTTTTTGGGCGGGCGGTTTTGGACCTTTGGTCTTCGTTGACGGCAACATGGACCAAGAGCAATATATCAACACTTTGGCTCAAGAGTGCCACCCCTGGTATAAGAAATAAGCAGAGGATACAAATAGTTCTTTCTGTTCCAAGAAGACGGTGCCAGCTGTCATACTGGTGGGTATGCGACTTGTGGAAGAGGACGCATGAAATTAACGGTTTTGAGTACTGGCCCGCTCAAAGTCCTGATCTTAACCTCATTGAGCATATTTGGTGGGCTCTCGAAAGGCTCATTGAGGAAGATCGGGTTGCCATTAAAAATACTAAAGAATTAAGGGCAGTTATTAAGAAAAAGTGGGAGAAAATAGGTGTTGAACTGGCAGAACGTTTAGTTCTGAGTATGAAAGATCGATGCCAGGCTGTAATTGACGCCAAAGGAAGACACGCTAAATATTAAGCTTCTGTTTTTTTTTTAAAGAAATTATAAAATATATATGTTGTTTTATCGAAATTCAAAATTTCAACTGTCTCCATGCTGCATTCATTGAGAAAATGGTTTTCAAAAATTTAGGAGGTTTTTTAATATTAATTTATTTCACGAGTGGGTGAAATGTTTCTAGGTGTAACTGTATCAATAGCGAATAGTTGATTCAAGTATATATATTATAATTAGGATACGACATTTTTGGACTTTAAATATATGTTACCTGAACCATAATTACATGGCAAACTGTGTACATTTGCGTTTACGCATTCCCATTTATAGAATCGGAGGCTTCGAGGAAACAAGATACATGAGTATTATTTTATTACCAACAAAGAAAGAGAAAATGATGCTATATAATATATACGAATTAGATTTATTCAGTGCATATAGACACTTGAAATAATCTATTTAAAAGAAGCTAGCGATTATAGCGTTGGCTTAGTATAATAAATAAACGCACAAAGCTCATCTTGTTGTTTTCCGAGCTGTGAA